TTCTAAGTATGTTGTTGTTGTTTTTATGTGCTGTCGAGTTGGACCAGACTCATAGCGACCCCTCCTTGGGTTTCCAAGGCGGTATCACTACGGTAGTAGATTGCCCAAGTTATAAAGAAGTTATTTTTATCCAGTTTTCTAAGAGTGATCTCCAGGGTAAAATATCTGATTTGTTTCTCATACTGTGTATATTTTCTTGAGATGTTTCTATGTTAAGAAATATCTAAGCCTAACCTTAAAAATGTTGCTTTCCCTCTTTCATGTCCTATATCACCAGCACTTAGAAAGAAAACCTTCAGTTCTGCATAAAGACACATATACACAACCAGATACTAGACAGACAAACATCTTATTTGTAATCCACTCTGCCCTACCCTACTGCTTACATAGCATAAACGCTATTTGGGTGTTGCTTTTTCTGACACCCAATCTCTATATAGTTAAAAAACCTGCTATCCTGTAGAATTCAGAGTTCAGAGCCGAAGCTGGGACTTTTCTAGAGGGAAAAGAAAGGCACAACCAGAATGAAATAGAATGAGGGAGCTTGGGTATTATCCAGAGAGAGGGAAAGATCAGAATAAAATGGAGTTCAAGCCACAGCAACATACTTCCTAGGCAAAATCAACACTGCTGTTCAGAAGGTACATCAGGAGTGCCCTTCTTGATACCCATGATTCTTCTAATTGTTGGCATAGTGAAGTTAGTCTGGAAAAGACTCGTTCTCCTGGCTCTTGGCCCTGACTTGGTGAGAAGTAGCACATGAATAGGCCAAATGGTATGCTGGGCTAGCTCATGTTTGAAATCACTTATTGATAACATAAAAGTGAGGTTCATTTTTATGTTGTGTTTATCCCTTAAATGGTTTATTTTTCCATGGTATAGAAATATATAACTTTATTTTTTTTAATTTTATGTTTTAGTGTATATATTTTTTAAATTGAGACAACTATAAAGCTTAATATAGCTGGCAGTGTCATAGTGTATGATACTGTACCCAGATAACTTATCCACAAATAGTTTTTATTTCAAATGTGTAGACTTTACATTCCTTAGACAGAAATAGTGTCTAAATTCTAAGGAAAGTTGGGTCTTGGAGAGAGTGTAATGTAAGGAATGAGCTGAGCATCTGGTTGAAATGATCATGTCTTTTGAAGTCACTTAATAGATGACAATGGCAAGTAACAGCTCAATTAGAAAATAAATAGAAAATGAGTATATAATCTACAATATGGCTTTGCAAAGATCTGGCAATCATATTTCTAATACTGAGTCACGTAATTTATATGTTGGGCAGAAATTGATGAAGTAGCATATTCAATGCTTGTGTATATGTTGATTTTGTGTTATTGTTAGACTATATTGCAAGCCCATAGTCTTGGTTGCTGCTGTTGAGTTGCGCTTGAGTTGGCTCCAACTCATAACGACCCTATGCACAACAGAATGAAACATGGCCTGGCCTGTTCCATCCTCACAATAGTTGCTATTCTGACTTGGTACTTGTCTTAATTATCTAGTGCTGCTATAACAGAAATACCACAAGTTTTATCTTCTCATAGGTTGGGAGGCTAGAAGTCCAAATTCAGAGCCCTGGCTCTAGGTTAAGGCTTTCCCCTCTGTTGGTCCTAGAGGAAAGTCCTTATATCTTCTGAGCTCTGCTCCTAGGCAGTCCTCGTGTGGCTTAGCATCTCTCTTCCCTCATCTTTGCTTGCTAGCTTGACTTTAACCTCTTTTATATTTCAAAAAAGATTGACTCAGAATATACCCTGTACTAATCCTGCCTCATTAACATAGATAGCCCATTTCCAAATTGGATTATAACCACAAACATAGAGGTTAGAATTTACAGCACATATTTTTAGGGACACAGTTCATTCCATGATGTTCCACCATCTGGCCCCCAAAAATTCATCTCCTTGCCACATGCAAAACACCTTTACTCAATCACATCATGTCAAAAGTCTTAAATCAGCTCCAAGTCCAAAAATCTCATCTTCTGAATCATCTAAATCAAATATGGGTGAGACGTTAGGCATATTCCATCTTGGGTAAAAATTCCTCTTCATCTGAGAACCTGTGAAATCTAGAATACAAGTTATCTGCTTTTAAAATACAATGTAGAACCAACACAAGACAGATATTTCTACTATGAAAGAGAGAAATTGGAGGGAAAGAGGGGATAATGAGCAGCAAGCAAGTCAAAAACCCAGCAGGACAATTTACATTAGCTCTCAAGGACTGAAAATATCCTCAGTTCTCTGAGACTGTCTAGGCATTGGCCCTGTCTTCTAGACTCTGGGTGTTGGCCATGCCCTCTGGCCTCTTCTTGGAGACCCCCCAGCTCTGGACTTCAGTTCTGCCTTCTAGGCCCACTGAGATGTTAATTCTGCTCCCTTGGCGTTGGTCAGTGCCATTCTCCTAGTCCATCTGAGTAGTGACCCCACTCCCTCAGCCTTGGCATACCCTGTTCTTCTGCCCCTTGGATGTGGCAGGCCTACACTCCTGGAACTGAGTTGGGAGTTTGTGAAGATCCATTTCTTTGAAACCTAGGAAGCTCTGGCCCCACCTTTAGGGATCAAGGAGACCATGGCCCCATCCTTTGAAAATAAGAAGACCCTGCTTCCCTTCTCCTTTCAACAGTTCTGCCTGTCTCTGAACTGTTCCAGGGACAGTCCTTTTCTTTTCTTGGAGGACAGCAGATATAGCTCCTTTGGCTTGTTTCCTGCCTGTAGAATTCCAGGAAGCAGGCAGCATTCTTTCCTTTCTTCTTTCTCTCTCTTCAGTCTAAGCTAATAGGTTTTCTGCTACAGTTGTTGGTTAGATCCATTAGTCACTGGCTTAATTTCTTCAACAAAAGGTTGTGTAGCCCTGTTCTTGGTGAACATTCTAGGATACATGTTCTTAGTTTATACAATAGAATTTTCCAAATCTGTAAGTTTTGCTTCCATTTTGCAAGTTCATTTTTAAGTCCATCTATTTCTTCTCACATTTTACTATAAGTGGCAAGGAGAAACCACACAGCCCCTTTAAATCTTCCTTAGAAATCTCATCAGTCAGATATCCAAGTTCATCACTTCTGCCAAACATTTGGACAAAATTCAGACAAATTTCTTTTCCACTGCATAAAAAGCATCATCCTCCCTCCACTGTGCAATCACATGTTCATCATTTTCTTTTAAAACCTCACTGAAAGCACAGTTAATGTCCATATTTTTCGCAACATCCTGATGCTGGCACATATATTCTCTAAAATGATAGAGATACTTTCTCTGTAGCTCTCCTCACTTCTTTCTGAGCCTTCATAAGAATTGCCATTGATGTCCATAATTCTCTTAACAGTAATCTAAGGTTTTACTATTTAAAAAAAAAAAAAAACAAACCTTCAAACTCAATGGCCGTTGAGTCAATTCCAACCCCTCCTTGGGTTTCCAAGGCTGTATCTCTAAGGAAGTAGATTGCCCAGTCTTCCTTCCGACAAGTGGCTGGTTAGCAGTCAAATGCCTTAGATATTATGCCACCAGAGCTTAGGCAACTTAAAACTCTTCAAGCCTCCACCCATTACTCAGTTCCAAAACTGCTTCTGCATTTTTGGCATCTGTTAGAGCAGCACCCCACTCTTCCAGTACCAAATTCTGTATTAATTCTTGTTGTTGTTGTTACGTGCCATCGAGTCGGACCTGACTCATAACGACCCCTTCTTGGGTTTCCAAGACAGTATCACTACGGAAGTAGATTGCCCAACCTTTCTTCCGAGGAGTGGCTGGTGGGTTTGAACCGCCAGCCTTCTGGTTAGCAGTTAAGTGCCTTAGCCACTATGCTACCAGAGCTGCTATAATAGAAATACCACAGGTGAGTGGTTTTAACAAACAGAAGCTTACTTTCTCATACCTTAGGAGGCTGAGGAGCCAGAGGGTTGGCAGTTCAAACCCACCAGCTGCTCCATGGGAGAAAGATGAGGCAATCTACTTCCTTAAAGATTTACAACCCTAGAAACCCTGTGGGGATTGCTATGAGTTGGGATCAACTCAGTGGTGGTGGGTTTGGTTTTGGTTTTGGTTTTAGGAAACTTGAAAAGAAGTCTTTCTCAGCTTTGGAAAAAGGTCCTTGTTTTTTCTGAGCTTCTGCTCGTGGGCAGTCTTCATGTGACTTGTCACCCCTCTTCCCCATTTTTTTTGCTCCCTTGAATTTAATATCTCTTATTTCTCAAAAGAGGTTGACTCTCTGACACCCGATACTAATCATGCCTCATTAACATATAAAGACAACCCATTCCCAAATGAGATTATAACCATAGGCATAGAGGTTAGGATTTATAACATGTATTTGGGGGACACAATTCAGTCTGTACCTTAAAATTCAAGACAAAAAAAATACATGTTATCAAATATAATTTAAAGCCTGTCATTTAAAAAAAAAAAAAAAAAAGCTTGCTTGGCCTAACACACAGTTAGGAGAACATAAATAAATGGGATAAGTAAGTGAAAATTAATGGGGAAAAAATGAGGAAGCTGAGAATGAGTAATCAGCTTTATAGACAAAGTCAAGATGGTGACGGATTCTTTTGTTTATGGATTAGTGGGAAGTGAGGGGATGAGAATTCTTTATAGACAAATTTGGCAGTTTGGAAAAATTCAGTGGTAATTAATTACACTACTTTTCTATCTGAATGTGTTATGCATAAGTCATGGGGATTCAAACAGACAGGATTTTGTCAGCTCTGGGAGAGAAAGTTAGTCCAGAAATGGCAGTGGACATCTTAAAGTAAAAAATATTTGCAAAGCTCTCACCGTCTCTTAACTGATTACTACAAAAGAGAAGTCAGATTCTTGATATTTTTCCTATATCACCCAACTTCAACTTGCAGAACTGGCTATTTCTTCTTTCTTGTCATATGAACTTAGAGCTGTGTGGCCTCATTAGCTATAATGACAGTTGGCATTTGTGGGATTTCAAATTGTTTAAAGAATGGTCAGATGGACAATAAATTTCTTATTATTTTGCAACATTGGATACTTTACCACCATGCTGGCAGCATTTTAAGTATATTTGTCAATACTCCCAAATTTTAACTGAAGAAAACCTTAAGAATTTATATTTGAGGACTAAAGTGTAACTCTACTAATTATCAGGTCAGTATTATCCACACCCCTAGGATGTCATTGCCATCCCAAAGCAGAATGCAGTTTTACCATCTTTCATTTATATTTCAGACAAAAAATTATATATATATATATATATAGAGAGAGAGAGAGAGAGAGAGAGAGCAATGTTCTATATGTTGAGATTAGATTCCAATATATCAAAGAACTGCTAAAATTTATTTATAAAGATAATTATTGGAATGTGGAGAAACAAATGGTTCTCAAGTTACACAGCTATGGCTCTATTTTCCCTCCTATGTTGTGTTTGTATTGTATCGCTTCATGTAGGACACTAAGCTAAATGAGTTGGTACATATTAGCAAAATGTTCCAGATATTAAAATTTGTGTGCAGAGTGATTTGCCAGAGTAGAGATAATAAGTAATGATGTTGTTCTTTCTGCCATTGACAAAGAATAGAATATTTTTCTTGCTTAGACTGCTTCTAACCAAAGTGGCTCTAAAGATGGTTTCACTTTTACTCTTGTATGAGGATATTTATCCCAAAAGATCAAAGACTTTGATTTGGTTAAATTTGATTTAGTTCTTTATATATTTGCCTCTTATTTAACTGAATCCTCTACCAAATAATAATTGATGTATAGCCATAGAAGCTTAGAATAGAGCCAAAAAAGACTTCAGAAATAAATATTCTTTCTTATTCTACCTGTGAGGAAATTTGGGACCAAAGTGAGTGGGTGATTCCCCTGAGACCATTCTTCATCTGTGGTTCCCAGCTACAACTGGAGTGGCAAAGCTGCATTCCTCACTTCCAGTGCATTATTTTTCACTCATGTTATACTGCTTCTTTACAGCAAAGTTTTAGATCTCTAAATAGGGATATTTAAAGACTGTAAAGGTGCTGACAAAAATAAAGAATAATATATGCAGAACTCATCATTTTTAGCTGTTCCTACTTTCCTACCTTGGTGCTTCTACAACCAATTGATTTAATCAGACAGTAAATATTTATGGAGTACCGTTACTATGTGCCCATTATTTTGCTTAACATCATGAAGAGAAGAGGAAGGGCAAAAAATGATTGGACGTTTTCCTCTGCCTTATAATCTCTCTGAGGGTAATAAAAACATAAAGCCATTGGAGAGGTGGGGGCTCATCTGAGAAACCAGTGTGACTCAACTGGTAGTTTAAACTCCTCTGGTAGCATAGTGCCTAAGGCACTTCACTGCTAACCAGAAGGCTGGTGGTTCAAACTCATCAGCCACTCTTTGGAAGGAAGGTTAGGCAATCCTACTTCTGTACCGATATTGCCTCGGAAATCCAAGGAGGGGTCGCTATGAGTCGAGTCCGACTCGACGGCACATAACAACAACAAAACATTCTTTGCTCCAGATTACTCCATTCTTCTTCTGTGGTTCCCAACTACAATACGGCAGCTGAAGGTATTTTTGATGTCACTGATCTTGGGTACACCCAGTATTGATAATGCATTTCTTGGAATCTTTGGAAAAAATTCTTTTGGGAAAAAAAAAGAGGATAGTAGTTATTAATAATTAAAACATTTCTGAGCTGGTGTCATGGAACTTGGCAAGACATTTTATATTTATTAACTCATTTGTCTTCACAAAAACCCTATGAATTCAATATCATCATACCTTTTTCGCAGATAGGAAAACATAGAGTCCAAAAACTTACCCAAAGTCATACAGTTAGGAAGATGCAGACGTATGATCCTTCTGACTGCAAAGCCACGTACTCTTTCCAACATATCATCTTATATTAAGTTTGATTTTATTTACCTGAAAACCAAACTCATGGATCCAACTCATAGCGACTCCTCCTTGGGGTTTCCGAGGCGGTATCACTACAGAAGTAGATTGCCCAACCTTACTTCCAAGGAGTGGCTGGTGGGTTTAAACCGCCAGCCACTCCTCGAAAGGAAGATTGAGCAATCTACTTCCGTAGAGATACCGCCTCAGAAACACAAGGAGGGGTTGCTATGAGTTGGATCCAACTCCATGGCAGTGAAAGTATTTTTAAATTTTATTAGATTTTTTAAATTAATTTTTATTTTTACATTAACATCTCATGTTGTGAGATGTCTCTGTTATTAAAGAAGTCAGAATCACTTTCTTGTGCCTAAAACTACTGGTTAGAAAGTTAGCAGTGAGACCTGAAGTTACGTTGAACATATTTACAATGTAGTAGAAGATTTGTACCGCATGTCCTGAAACACAGTCTAACAACACAGTGACGTATGTATTTTTTACATGTTATTTCACTTAAAGGCAGTAGCTCTGGAAGGAATCAATGACTCTTTTGTGTGCTCCCTAAAATTTAATGTGCTTTTTTAAGAGTTGGGAATTGCTACAGGGTGTGTGAACTAGTCAAGTTGTGATTCCGTTTAAAGAAAACTATTATGAGAGTAGCAATTTGGAAATAAAAAGTAGGAGAAGGAAAATAATATTTGCTGTACTTTGGAAGTGATAAAATATTTCTTACCATACATAGTGTTCAGAAGACTCTTCAAAGATTGTATAGTCTGACTTCTGTCTGTGTGGTTTGTGAAAAACTCATCTTGTAGAAAGGATTAAGTTTGTGTCACATAAGTTGCCATGTAACATATTTGAAAAGGCACAAAGCCACACAGAAATGTGAACTCACTAAGTCAAATAAATTTAGCTGGTAATAAATAACCTGGCCAATTAGGAGTTTAAACAATATATTTTAAGAAGTTATTTAAAAGTATATTTGCGTATGGTTGCCTTTAAGTTTGTTTTACTATGCAAAATGTAAATATTGTGATGGATGTTCTCTGTGTTGTTGTTGTTGTTGTTGTT